AGTTTATTATGTTTTATTAAAAATATGAAAAAAAAACTAAAATATGGATCTTTTAAGAACATGGAGTATAATTTGGTAAGCATCCGTAAATGTATCATTTTGTTAGGCGATTTGCTTAAACATTTATCCGCCGCTATTAAGTGAAACTCGAAGCTTCTTCCGCCGCAAAGGGCTTACGTGCTCAATGGGCACGTGCTTGCCACATGCGTCCCCTACTTGGCCTTGCGTCTTCCATGCTCTTCCGCTGAGTGCTGACTTTTTGATATGTACAAACGGAATAACTTTCGATAAATTCTAGACGCCACTACCTAGCTTCTCAATTTCAAATACAAGTCGTATTTTGTGGTATTTCATATGCTTACCAAGTTGGAACTACTTTAGAATCTCTATAACTTAATGATGTTGAGATTTTTAAATTTAATTAATTTTAAAAAGTTTTCTTTTTTATATTTATTCATTTTAAAGTATGTTTTATGTATAAATATGAAGAAACTTGACTTTATGGTATATGTATTAACTTTTGTATTGTTCTTATTTGATTATTTGATCCACACCATAAATATAAATGCATTTTAAGAGTAAAATAAAAAAATAATATCAAAGTGCTTATAAATATTACGTAAAAAGTAATTTCACTATAAACGAAAAATTTAAATATTTCTTATATTTATATAAACTCTATAAATGCTAATTATTCATTTATGTTTATATTGGGACTATATATTTATATAATATTTTTTAAAAAAAATATTATCATATTATTTTAGTAATTTATGTTATATTTTACATTGGTCCAAATTGAAATTGATGAAATTTCTAATGTATCTAGATTACTAATTTATCAAATTTTAATTTATAGAGATTTTAGTGTACTTGGTAATGATGCAGTACAAATTGACTAGCTTAGACGTTACCTATCGGTGTTTCAACAAAAAATAAAAAGACGTTACATATCTGTTCTTGCTTTCTTTCTTTACCATACCATTTTTAATACCTTTTAATAGAAACCAAAATATTAGTATATCATTATAGCACATCTTGCTCGCACCACATACCAGTTATCTTAATAACACAATATCTTTTTCACAAACATGTTTGATTTCTTATGAAAAGGTTAAATATTAAATTATTATCCACGGAAATTAGTTTTTTCATCACTAATAAAAAGGTAAAACCCGTTCACAAAAAGGAGGTAAAAAATCGGGAAAATTTCAATTATATCATTTTGATGGTACCACTTTTCATGTTTACCATCAACAAATGAATATTTTCAAAAATACACATTTTATTAAATGATAAAAGACTCTTATATACTTATTCTTTATATATACACATAAAATAAATATTAAATAAAATATTAACCATAAACCCTAAAACATCAATTATAAATTCTAGGCTCTAAAAAGTAAACTCTAAACCCTAAAATATTAATTCTAAACCTTAAACCTTAAACTCTAAACCCTAAAAAGTAAACCCTAAACCTTAAAAAATCAACACTAAACCCTAAACTATCAATCTTAAACCCAAACCCTAAACCCTAAATTCTAATAGTATTTTGACTATTAAAATTTTAATGGTAAAGTTGATTAGTGTAAAGTTGAAAAGTGGTATCTTGAAAGTGATATTTGATAATTTCCCTAAAAAATCTGTGTAAGGGGTTTTACAAACATTTCTAATATACATTTCACAAACATCATTTATCAAGATTCACGTGTTATTGTAATTAGACTTATAACGAGTATTATGTTTGTAGTATCAAGATGTTGCGTTCTTGTGAAGATCTGTCGATATATTATAAAAATATCCGTCCAGGTAATCGAATTCTGCATATATATATATATATATATATATATATATTAGAAATATTACCATGGACATTGCACGAGTTCATCGGAGTATTTTTTTCGTGGTCAGGAATTGTATCATAATTAGAGCGATAAATTTGGTCATTTGGAAGAAGCGGCTATAAATAAAATACACAACCAGATAAGATGGGGGAAAGGGGCGGACTTAAGGTTTTGGAAAAAATGGAAGAATGAAATATAAAGTTAGTGATATAATATGGTAATCATAGTGGTGGAGTTCTACGCCAATCCATCTCTAACGCTCTAGAATTTGTTTTAGGTAAACGACTCTCTAGAGACTTCTTAATGTTTTTGTAACAGTTTCTGTCGACTAAAGTCTAAACTACACCTAATAATTATCATGATTAATACTTGAAGCTAAATTAGCAACAACTTTAAATATTACGTAGTGATGTAAATCTATGTCACTATCGGTGTCTTAGGATATATTTCTTAATTCCGATAATATTTCTTATATGGTGTCGATATTTGAATGTTGAACCACAATCGTTTGGCTAATTAATCCCGTGGAATGTTCGTGGTGATTACATGTTCTAATTGTATAATACATACGAGTCAAAAGTGAAAACTTTTTTGTTGGTCTAAAGTGAAAACTTGCATTGTAATTAATGTTAATGAAAGAAATTTATGTTCTTCATTCGTCTGGTGACTTGCAGATCTTTGTCGTCTGATCTGATGATTTTTTAGCCGTTATAACCCTGCGGGGGATCTATTTATGTTTAACCAAAAAATAACTCACGTCCGTAGATGAATTGAATTATCATATACTATAATATATTGTTTTACATTACAATGAAATTTGTTTTGGGCATGAATGTTATAAGATTATAATGAAATTGTTGGTTGTAGTCAGTATAGATTGCTTAACTTCTCATGTAGTTGACTCCAAGCCAAGATTAAATAATGTTTTTAAACAATGTCTCTCTTCATCTCCCCTAATAAGAATGTTAGAATATAAAAGGATGAGGAGGAAAGTAGGTGACCCATTGATAAGAAATAATATCACAACTGTTTCGGAAGCAGCCCTCTGCCGTCACCCACCATCACATTCTTATCTCTTCCTTATCATCATTACTACCAGTCAGTTATTTATTATAAAAGGCACAACTACTGAAGAATATACCGTTGTATGAGCAAATGTAGATAATATAATGTAATGTTTACAAAAAGGATAATAGATTATATCATGTCAATAACAGGTAGAATGATATAGTAGGGGTTACAATACATAAGGTGTATTGTCTTCTTTCGAAATATGCATGAAGTAATTAGTTTTATCATATGCATAATCATAATTACGAATTACATGGTCAAATGGAATACACGAAATGACCTCTACGAATTCAAATAACATCTACTAATCAATGAACTCGTCTTGTTTTTAAGAAAGTACGTGAATCTAAGTTAAAAATCTAAGAACATCCAATGATTCCTTATTTTAAAAGAAACAAAAGAATGAAAATGGGAATTTTTTATATAAATTTATGAATAGCATTTTTTTAAATTTGAAGGAACACTATTCACAAATACATTTTAAAGTTGAGACTTTTATTTATAAATCAGTCTTTATATTTAATAGCATTGTGGTTTATATCTATAAAAATTTATATTTGTGTTTTATGCTTTACAGAAATGATTAACTTTCAAAATATAATTATAAGTTAATATTAATTGTTATATCTTTTCAGAAACTAAACTATATAGTCAAAATTTAGTTCAGATAAAATTTTATTTGTGTAAAGTTTGTAAATTTTAAAAAATAATAAATATTATTAGAATTAATCATAAATGATAGGATAATATACTCGAAATATTTTTTTGAAGGAAAAAATGAAGAAATCATCGGAGTAAAATATAAATTCATTTTTTAATTTATTTCATTTTAGAAAAATAAGAATCTATTGGAGATGCCTAAAAAATATTCAAACCGTAAAGTGTGAACATAACCTCAAAAAGTCAACAAAACAGGCGAGACTGTTACTCCACAAATAACAAATGATACGGCGACGCGTGTTATGAACTATAATCTGGCCCCGCTTTGCTGAATACATTAGGGTATCCACATCAATGAACCCCCTCCTGGGGTACATTGAATCATTTTTTTATTATTAAAAATTTTCAGTTTTCTTTTTGATTTTTTTTTTAAAAAAAAGCAAAAACAAAAATCTAAACCAATCCCGAGCCGTCACGTGTTGAACCTCATAAGAGAGGGGTTCACCGCGGTGAACTTTAGGAGAGAAGGATTCATAGATTTTTATTATTTTATTATTTTTTCTCTTAATTTCCGTGTGAACTCCTCCCATGAATTTTCAATGGGGATGCTCTTAGACGTGTTTTCTACCCATTGCAATATCTTTAGTCTTTACTGGCTCATAGGTTATGAAAGAGTTTTACTTTTACCTCTTTAAACTCGTTTTCTATTTGGTCACAAAATTCAGAAACTGATTTTATAGAAATTTAAAACTAGAATGAAAAAAAAGTTCAGTTGTTTGAGAAAATAAGGAAGTATTAACTAGACCAAATTATAGTCGAGATGAGATTTTATGTATAGCTTAGATGATATTTAAATTAATATCATAACTTTTGGATTTTTGTTTCTAATTTTTTCTTGGTTTACATTATAGTTGAGATTAGATTCAAACTAATAGAAATTTCAAAAATATAGAAACAAATCCTAATCAGGATTAGAATATATTCTAGTGTTTACCACACACAAAAAAAAAGAATATATTCTAATTTAGTTTACTTAAAAAATAAATAATCATTAAGTATTCCTTACTATATTCAAATATATATATATATATATATATATATTTCTATTTAATAAAGTAGGAATTTTTTAATAAATTTAGTCTTTTTTGTCAACTAATAAATTTAGTTAGTATGATCAGTTTGTAAGATAAATCTTATGCGATTTTTTTAACATCGAGTCTTATGCGATTATAAAGTTAATCAAGATAGCAATAAATCTTTTAAAATGGCTTTTTTTAAACTACTTTTTTATTCGAACCGGCGTTTGAAACCAAACTTTTTTAACCGCAAAATACGAAAATAAAATGAATAAAAACTGGAAAACAGTGAGAGAAGACAACCCACACTATATAATGACAGGCAAGCTGGTGAGTTTAGAGCATCATCGGTGAGGCTGAGAGTAAATTCACTACAAAAACTGAGCGTCCCCTCCCCCACCCCCAGCAATTGTTTTCTCATTTGATCCTATATTCATTTGCTTTCCCCCCGTTTCTTCGATCTATTTCTGGTAATCATCTAGGTTTCTTTGTGTTTGAATGGTTTTTATTGATTATTCAGACAGAACATCCAAGCTTATGAAACTGTGTCTTTATTTGAATTAATCTTTTTATTTTTCATAGATTTAGCCGAGGGTAATTTTTAAAAACCCCTCTTTCGGATCTAACAGGTTGCTTATTTCAAACCTTTTCGATCCATTTTTATTCTCTTGAATTTTCTCGAAAAAACCCTGTTCTTTACTTTTGATAAGAAACAGGTGAATATTTTCGGATTCAATTTTTTTATTTCTCTTTAGAAAAAATCTACAAAAAAATCATAATGGAAGCTGCTATGAATATGTACAGTAGCAAAACGTTTCACCAATCAGATACGTTTGGTGGTGGTGAACTCATGGAAGCGCTTGTACCTTTTATCAAAAGCGTTTCCCCCTCTTCTTCTCCTTCCGCGTCTGCGTCTGCGTTTATTAATAACCCCGCAGCGTCTGCGTTTTCTCTTCCTACCTTCCCCGGATACTACCCGGAACAACACTTCATGACCCAACCGTTTACATACGGGTCGGATCTTAACCAAACCGGGTCACTAATCGGGCTAAACAACCTCTCTTCTACACAAATCCACCAGATCCAATCTCAGATCCACCAGAACCATCCTCTTCTCAGACCAAAGCCTATACTCATGAAGCAACCAGGAGTCGCCGGATCTTGTTTTCCGGCGAAGCCGACGAAGCTGTACAGAGGCGTGAGGCAACGTCACTGGGGCAAATGGGTCGCTGAGATCCGTTTACCGAGAAACCGTACCCGTCTCTGGCTTGGAACGTTCGACACGGCGGAGGAAGCTGCCTTGGCTTACGACAAGGCGGCGTATAAGCTGCGCGGCGATCACGCCCGGCTTAACTTCCCTAACTTACGTCACAACGGTTCCCACATCGGCGGCGAGTTCGGCGAGTACAAGCCTCTTCACTCGACGGTCGACGCCAAGCTCGAAGCTATTTGTCAGAGCATGGCGGAGGAGACGGAGAAAAAGGGTAAAGCCACGACCAAAGCTCCGACGAAGAAACGTGTCTCGGCGGTGAAGAAAACTGAGAAGGTTTCGTCGCCACCGCCGGTGACGGAGGTGGTTGAGTCCGCCGGATCTTCGCCGTTGTCGGAGTTGACTTTCGCCGACACGGAGGAGCAGCCGCAGTGGAACGAGACGTTTTCGTTGGAGAAGTGTCCGTCGTACGAGATAGATTGGGATTCGATTCTGTCTTGATCAGTTTGTGTTTGGTAAGAGTAGGGGTAAAGTAGGAATTTCAGAAGCTGTCTGCAATGGAGTTTTTTTGGAAATTGCAGAGAGGGGCTTGTTAGATTAATTAGGGGGTTAATCTCGTATGTTAATATTATGGTTTGTATTAATCTCTCTGTGTCGGTCCAGCTGCGGTTTTTTGTCATGCTCGACCATGCCACAGATTTCTTTTTATGTAATTTTTTGTATTGTTTTTGTCTATGTAATTTCTAGCTTCATTTGCTAAATATTAATGCGATGTTTTTAGTTTTTTAGGAAAATAAAATCGCCTCATATATTGACTATGCTGTTTGTGTGATTTCAAATGTTATATGGGTAAACAAATAATTTTTTGAGATATTCGAGAACGAACAAAGTATTGAATTATTGTCTAACACACAATTTATGATATTTCGTTCGTTTAACTGAAAGTATCTTCAACTTCACTCCATAATTTATTACAAAATAGAGTGGAAAATAGAGTGATGAACAAATAAAAAAGTGATTACTTCATAAATGTAGTAATATATTTTTTGTTTGTTCATTAGTCCATTTTCCATTCTATTTTATAGTAAATTATGGAGTGGATTAGAGATGTTCTGATAAATCGAAATGTATGTTTGATATTGATTAATAATTATGTCAAAACACTTTGAAGGATTAACACATGGACGTATGTATGTTTACATTTTAATCATAATAAAAATAGGTGGCACGTTGGTTTTGTTGCGCCAATAAAGTTCTTTGTGTGTTTTGCCGATTGTGTTACATGCAGAATAGAATATACCAATGCTTTAACGCATTTACAGGAATCCACATAACGTAAAAGTGTATAACCCATCCTCCCCTACCACGTTTTTTTCTTGTGTGTTTTGCCAATTGTGTTACATGCGGCATAGAATATCCTGATGCTGTAACGCATTTACAAGAATCAACATAACGTCTAATAGATCCCCTACAAGTTTCATCCTCCCGTATCTCGTTCTCGCATTTTCTATTATAGGATTCTTTTTTTTTTTGTCGAGCAAGATCAACTAGTGTTTAATGTTTATTATGTATTGTTCTTTTTCTGTTTTAGTTCACAAATGGTTTAAGCTATGCGTGTTGGTAGATGTGGCCGGCCATGCCGCAACTTTCGTTGCAGCATCTTTTATCATCTAACTACTCATTTAAACTTAACCCAAGAAAACCAATAATTCGATATTTCGGTGCAGTCACTGTGTCGGCAGCAAAATGATTGAATCTTCATCACATTTAGAAAGTAGATATAGATTCTAACCAATACACCAATGGGTGACTCGAAGAAATAAAGGAAAATACCAAAAAAACGCGATGGATGTCAATGTCATGTAACTAATAATGTAAAAGAGCACTAGGGTTTTGGACTAATATGGTGTGCTATCAAAATATGTTAAATTCGCACAGATGTAAATAATCAATTTAAAAAAAAAAATCAAGATATAAACCGCAAAAAAGTTTTTGACATAGAAAAATAAATACATTTCACTAGTCCAAATATCTACAATTTTTTAGTTATATCAAAGACAAAAAAAAAGTTAACAACTACTCTGTCTTCATATTCTAGTAACCTCTTAACATTTAAAATAACCTAGAGCGGATCTATTTTCATGCAATAAATATATTACAACTAGAAGTAGTATAAGAGGAGAATTTCAAATTACGCAAAGGAACCATAAAGATGGAGAGTGTCAAAGGCACATAACACCAAAGGAGCCCACCAAAGATTATGTTCACACTCCATTTCTCTTCTCTTTCTCATGCAATTTTCAACCAAGATTTTGTATACGAGTAGTTGTATTTAGCACATTGCATTGAATTCTCTAACACCATTATTGCCCGTTGACGTGTGATGCTGAATAAAAACAAGTAGGAGTATCAATCTTAATAGTTGTATCTACTCATCAATATCTAGTAACGTATTGATTCACATTAAATGGAGAAAGATCATTGAACAAGAAAACACCAGGAAGTGACTGCAAGCGTCCTGCATGCTTCCGTCTGCTCTAGATGCTCAGTCACAAAGAACAGCCAAGACTTAATTCTTAGCTAATATTAGGACGCTGCTCAAAAAAGATAATATTAGCCTATTACTATTAGGACAAGGTCAAAGTAGTTTTAAGAAAAAATTTAAAGCTAAGTCAGAGGCTGTGGTCTGAGATATAGTTTCTTCACCAGGTTTGAATGAATAATATGCTCTTTAACATCTGTGTATCTCACGTTAAAGAAAAAGAAGCATCGATTAAATCTATTATCATCGCAACAGATTCATTCTATATCACTGGTTGTATATTCCCCGCGCAAGCGCGGGGCCAGGATCATTATGTTTACGTGTATTTTTTCCGATTGTTGGTTTAGTGGATTCTTCTAATGACACCAATTAATAATGAAATGGAAAATTTCATGTTTTTATATTGTAGGTCAAAACTTGATATAATTCTATATTTATAGTATTTATATTTGTATTAAACGATTTATCAATATGAAAATAACCTTAATTAAGTTAATATTCGTTGCTTAAGTTTCATTAGATAGGTTTTTATATATGGTTTTTTGTAAGTTTCGGTTTTGTTCAAAAATGATGTGGCATTTTTATCTACGGAGTCATCGACTGTGGGAATTCATTCGCCGAAATCTGGAGTCGGTGGTGAGAAATGTTTTCAATGAAATTATAGTAGTTATTAAAATTTAAGAGAAATATCATATTCATTTAATAAATAACTTACTTAAATTTTGTTGTCTATTTTATTTTATTTCATATACAATTTTTTTTGAAAAATATTAGGAATATGTTAAATGTTATTTATATGCGAAGTAAGGTTTATAGGAATAGTTATGATATAATATAGTTTTTAGTGTCTAAAAGTATGTGTGTGTGTTTTTGCTGTAAATAGTTTTTATATCGTAGATCAAAACTTGATATAATTCTATATTTATAGTATTTATATTTGTATTAAACGATTTATCAATTTGAAAATAACCTTAATTAAGTTAATATTCGTTGTTTAAGTTTCATTAGATAGGCTTTTATATATGGTTTTTTGTAAGTTTGAGTTTTG